GGCAGACGCTTAACCTACTGAGCCACCCAGGCATCCCCTAAAATTGTATTTAATTTAAATATAGTCACAGCTGACTAGTGGCTACCATATTGGATGACACAATTCTAAAGTATTTTTCAGTAAATATTTGTGTGGTTTCCAGAAAGAAGCCATGTCACATAATAAAGTGGCAGGCAAATTGTTTGCTGAGTTGTATGTAGATAACCTTAATTTGTTAAAAAAAAAAAAAAATCAACTCAGTAGGTGGTTGCATTCTCCATTCTCCAAAAACAACAAAAGCTGGCTAAATGTCATCACTGTTTTTACTACCTTTACATGCTGACAATTCTAAGCAATGTCAGTTACACAGTACTCCTCTTTGCCAGGGTGGACGGCAGTGGTTTCTGCTCTGCCCCCTTGGTATACCAGCTCTTCTCCACAATACCTCACACGTATATAAGGACAAAAGAAAATCAAATGGATTAGTGTATGTGATGGCTATTAGAGTTATTCTTCCTCTCCTACCAGACACATGGTAAGATTTCACTTCCTTACCCCTTAATCTCAGACTTGCTTCTGAAAATCTCAGCAGAAGCACTAAAAGCCAGGGCATGCTATACTGTGCTCTCTTTGCCCTTTGCCTTGGGCACATGGCAATGTTCCAGATAGCAGCTACTCCAATAGCCTGGTTTCTAGAGAGGGGACCGTGATGAACCTTCATGATGAACCTAGTATGTGCAAGAAATAAACCTTTTATTTTAAGCCACTGAGATTTGGGGGAATGCTTTTTACTATAGCTTAATCAAGTCTGCCTTATTGATACAATATACCTACTAATATCCCTTAGCAATTTCAGAATTTAGAGATGAAATCACAGCTCAGAATCAAAAGGATAAAATGAACAGTTGAGTTTCCAGAAATTACTCTATAGAAAGTCACCTTTAAGAATATTTTTATTCGGGGCGCCTGGGTGGCTCAGTGGGTTGAAGCTTCTGCCTTCAGCTCCAGTCATGATCCCAGAGTCCTGGGATCGAGCCCCGCATCGGGCTTTCTGCCCCTCTCTCTGCCTGTCTCTCTGCCTACTTGTGATCTCTTTCAAATAAATAGATAAAATCTTAAAAAAAAAATCTTTAAAAAAAAAAAAGAATATTTTTATTCCAGGGTACCTGGGTGGCTCAGTTGGTTAAGCGACTGCCTTCGCCTCAGATCCTGGAGTCACGGGATCAAGTCCCACATCGAGCTCCCTGCTCGCCATGGAGTCTGCTTCTCCCACTGACCTCTCTCCTCTCATGTTCTCTCTCTCTCTCTTTCTAAAAAATAAATAAGAAAAATATTTTAAAAAATATTTTTATTCCAATATAATTAACATATAGTGTTATATTAGTTTCAGGTATACAATATAGTGATTCAACAATCCTATACTCAATTCTCATTACAGTAAGTGTACTTTTAATCCCCTTCACCTATTTCACCCATCCCCCCATGGTTCTCCCCTCTGGTAACCACCAGTTTGTTCTCTGTATTTGAGTTTGATTTTTTTTCTTTTTCTCTTTATTTGTTTCTTAAATTCCATATATGAGTGGAATCATATGGTATTTGTCTTTCTCTGACTTATTTCACTTAGCATTATACCCTCTAGATCCATCCACGTTATTGCAAATGACAATAATTCATTCTTTTTTATGGCTGAGTAATATTCCATTGTGTACATGTATATACAACCTGTTCTTTATTAATTCATCTATCAGTGGACACTTGGGTTGCTTCCATATCTTGGCTATGTTAAGTAATGCTACAATAAACCTAGGGGTGTATATATCTTTTCAAATTAGTGTTTTCATTTTCTTTGTGTAAATACCCAGGGGTGGAATTTCTAGGTCATATGGTAATTCTATTTTTTCATTTTTTGAGGAAACTCCATAGTGTTTTCCCTACAGTGGCTACACCAGTTTGCATTCCCAACAACAGTGCATGAGGATTCCTTTTTTTTTTTTTTTTAAGATTTTATTTATTTATTTGCCAGAGAGATACACAGCGAGAGAGGGAACACAAGCAGGGGGAATCAGAGAGCGAGAAGCAGGCCTCCTGCCAAGTAGAGAGCCCACTGCAGGGCTTGATCCCAGGACCCTGGGATCATGACCTGAACCAAAAGCAGCAACTTAACAACTGAGCCACCCAGGTGTCCCTGAGGATTCCTTTTTCTCCACACCCTCCCTAATGTTTCTTGTGTTCCTGTGTTATTTTAGCCATTCTGACAGGTGTGAGGTGAAACCTCACTGGGGTTTTGATTTGCATTTACTTGATGGTAAGCGATGCTGAGCATCTTTTCATCTGTCCATTGGCCATCTATGTGTCTTCTTTGGAGAAATGTTTGTTCATGTCTTCTGCCCATTTTTAATTGTATTATTTGGGGTTTTTTTCAGTGTTGAGTTGTACAACTTCTTTATATATTTCAGATATTAATCACTTATCAGATAGAGCATTTGCAATTGGCTTCTTCCATTCTGTAGGTTGTCTTTTAGTTTTCTTGATTGTTTCCTTTGCTATGCAGAAGCTTTTTATTTTGATGTAGTCCCAATACTTTATTTTTGCTTTTGTTTCCCTTGCCTGAGGAGACATATCTAGAAGAATGTTGCTAAGGCCAATGTCAAAAATTACTGCCTATTCTCTCTTCTAGGATTTTCATGGTTGCAGGTCTCACATTTAGGTCTTTTATCAATTTTGAGTTTATTTTTGTGTATGGTGTGGGAAACTGGTCCAGCTATAAGTTGTTTTGCTTTTTTTTTAAGATTTTATTTATTTGACAGAGAGACACAGAGAGAAAAGGAAATCAAGCAGGGGGAATGGGAGAGGGAGAAGCAGGCTTCCTACCAATGAGGGAGCTCAAAGTGGGGCTCCATCCTAGGACCCTGGGATCATGACCTGAGCTGAAGGCAGCCGCTTAACAACTGAGCCATAAGAGCAGAGTAATGATGGTTAGCAATGAGCTAGCAACCACCCTCCATTTAATACAGTATGGATTCTGATAGAAAAATTCACAAAAGATTATAAAGAAAGGTCACTGTAAAGTAAACATAAGGCTTTTTTTTTTAAGGCCAACATTTTTCTTTTTTTTTTTTTTTAAAGATTTTATTTATTCATTTGACAAGACAGAGGGGGGAGAGAGAGAGAAAGAGAGAGACAGGCAGGCAGAGGGAGAAAGACTCCCTGCTGAGCAAGGAGTCAAATGCAGGACTCCATCCCAGGATCCGGGGATCATGAACCGAAGGCAGAGGCTCAACCAACTGAGCCATCCAGGCGCCCCCAAACATAAGACTCTTATAAATAAGGCTCAACTTTACTTATTGAATTAGTTAGGGTCAAGCTAGGCTAGGTTGCCATAAGAATGAACACAACTAACACAGCGGCTTAACACAAAATATTCTCACTTGTCCAGTCTGATAGGGACTGAGCAGTTTTCTTCCATCTTGTAGCTATGCTATTTGGATTATTGGCCTCCACTGGTATACCAACCCTTGTCTTGGAAGAAGTAATAAATCATTTGTGTTCATTCCAAGAATGTCATAAAACTCCTATCTAGGGGTGCCTGGGTGGCTCAGTGGGTTAAAGCCTCTGCCTTCAGCTCAGGTCATGATCCCAGGGCCCTGGGATGGAGCCCCGCATCGGGCTCTCTGCTTGGCAGAGAGACTGCTTCCTCCTCTCTCTCTGCCTGCCTCTCTGCCTACTTGTGATCTCTGTCAAATAATTAAAATCTTAAAAAAACAAAGAAACAAAAAAAAAAAACAAAAAACCTCCTACCTAAATGTATAAAGGACCAGGAAAACACAGTTTAGGTATGCGTCCAGAGGGAAAAAAAGGCGATGATGCGCACATGGCTTTGCCTCTGCCACATTCTTAAGTGCAAAAATGAAACTAGGTAAGAATACCATTTTTCCTACCAGATTGGCAGAGCAGAATCTCTGCCAATAGTTTTTAACTGCCATTCTACTTCTAGGAATTTATCCTACAGATAGACTGATATATGCAAAAAATTTTTGTAAAAGCAACAGATTGTAAGTAATTTTAAAAGTTCTTTGTAAGTGGCCACATCAAATTATGATGCATCCGTTATGATAGAATACCATACTGTCATAAAAAAGAATGAGGAAGCGCTTCACGAAGTGATACAGAACAAGCTCTCTGTAACTAAATGAAAAAAAAAAATCAGTATTAACATTTGGGTAAAAAAAGAAAGTATTTTTTGTACATGTATGAATCTCCTGATGAAAATCCAAAAAAACTGATTGGATTGTCTCCAGAGGGGACCTGAGGAGACTTTTACTGCCAACCTTAATTATACCTTTTGAATTTTTAGACATGTCAATGTATTACCTAGTCAAAATTTTAACTTAATCTTGTTGGGAGGATATGAATTCAGCCAGCCACTTTGTGACCTTGAGCAAGTTGCTTCATCTTTAAGTCTGTGTGCTCATCAGCCGAAGAGAGTTATTATTAGTACAACCTGCATTTGTGGGGTTGTGAGAAGCCAACTGCTCTATTTCTAAAGAAAATTTCAATTGATTTGGGTGTTTTCTAATCACACTGACTTAGAAACATTGATGTAAACAAGAGCTTGTTGGATTGTCAAGAAAGCCTCTAAAGTGACATTAAAGATCTGGGAGTTTTCTCATCACGAAGGCATTAGGAAAGTGCTTGGCTTGTGTGAGAACAGCAAAGATGCTGCAGTATCAAGAGAGCAGTAGGACATGAATTCAGTGGTGGGGAAGTGTGTAAAGCTCACGTAAGTCATCTAGGACTTCAGCTTCCAGCACTAGACTGACAACACTTAAATAGCTACAGTATGGACAGCAAACTATAGGGTACCAAGAATAGAAGCAAGCCCTTTTTGGAAATAAGGAACACTGACCTTTAGCTTGAACCCTCCCCATTGTCTCTTTCCCAAATTAGCATTGTTTGAAAAAACATTTATATGGTTTTTTTCTAAATTACGCAAGGACCAAAGAACCAAGAAGAAAAAATTCTCAAGACTAAATACTATACATTTTATTTTCTCTCAAAGTGACTGTTCCTGCCATTACAATTTTTTGTAGGTTAGGGTGTTTGGTTTGCTTATTAGCATTAGATGACAAAAGATAACAGGTCCATTTTAGTTTAATAAACATTTATTCCTTTAGTTGAACAACCTCTACACACAAAATATATATATGGTTTAGGATCTCTTTTTGAGTGGAAAAGGAATTTAGGTCTCAAGAGGTTTTGAGTCTTCTTCTGGATATCATTTAACTGAGCCTAAGACCCCCTAAAAAAATATAAAAACTGGTTCAAGGAAACCAGCAATTAGATTTTGAAATCAAACTATGGATTAAGTTAGTGAACTTAAAATTGGGGCAATTCCTCTCCTGTAGCTCCTACACACCCAAATTCACCCTGGAAAACAAAAACCTCATCTACTGGAAGACAAAATGGACACAGCATAGTGGTATACTTAACATCAAGGTGGGCACAATTGATGGACTGGCAGATTTTGAGGGGTTTAAGGATGAGAAAAATGACTGGGCTAACACATGTAAGATTAGATTGGAAACTATAGACTTGTATTGACACCAACTACATGACTTTTCTCAATAGCCTATGGGAATGTTTAAGTGGGTTGACCAAAGATGACTTAGGACTTGGAATGAGCAATGACATACTTTTAAAGCCAACCCCATTTTTTCTCCTGAGGTGGCTAGTGGATTCATAAAGGTCACAAAGACCATGGATAAAGTATTTAAGATTCTAATCAAAGCCAACTTTAATTTTTTATCCTCACACTTGAAAGGTTATCTGAGGGCCACGAGTTTCCCAATTCTAGCACTAATTACTAGCTTACGGATCTTAGTCTTCTCATCTACCTAATGTTCTATTTCCATCAGTTTTCATAGAGACCATTAACTAATCACTTTGTAGGAAATTCAGGATTCTACAGATCCTATGGAGTTGTGGGATACAACTAGGAGCCTCCACATTTTATGTTAACTTCAACAGTCCTGTGGAGACCAAGGCAATTTTGCTTTGGTTAAGCAGGATGTATTTTCATTTTTAAGAGAACCCTCCTGTATCAGGTAGGTTTATTCAATTCTCTTAAAAAATTGGTGGGATTCTTTTTAAGTACCCTTTCCAAAGCAACAGTTACATAATTGGAATATTGGATTCAATATAAAGACTGTAGTTCCTAGTTAATGCCGTTTACATATGATCATAATTAAAGATTAGGATAGTCATCACATTTCCAAGCAAGATCCAGTTTAAAAAGCTTCTTCTTTCCAAACCCCTAATAACAGCCATTTGAGAGTAAACCAGAGCATTACATCACCCCAATGAAGCTGTAGGTTTCGTTACATGCACCAACAAATCTACATGGCTAGCTTATGCATTCCACTTTTACAGAATTTATTTTATACCTATTATACCAAACAGTATTTTAAACACTGACATACAAACTCCCAAATAAGATAAAGCAAAGACAAAAGTGTTTATCTTATTAGAAACAAGATACACCATCACTTATAGTCTTCAAACATTATTGCACTTTAACTTTCATAATTTGACAATGCATTCATGGAACAATCTGCAGACAACTAAATTTAACAGACAAATTAAAGAACACTTTTAAGCAGACATGACTGTCCTAAATTGTTTATTAGGTAAGAATTTTACAAACATTACTTTGATTAGCGGTAACGGTGGAGCTGGAGAGTATTGCGTCTTCTCCATGCCGCACGGCGAGAACCACCAATAGTGTGGTGGAACTTGTGACCCTTTCCAAGGCCACGGCTCTTTCGGCCTGCAGATGTCAGCCCTCGCATCTCCCTGTGCTTGTGGACTGGTTTGGTGATCCACTGGGTGTCAGGATTTCTTCTGATAGCTTTATGGAATGGATCAATGAGGATAACCTCAAAGAATTTGTATGTGGAATCTTCACCAACCCAGTAAGAATTCAAGACTCTTAGAGCCCCACAGTGACGTCCAGCTCGCTCCTGTAATAGGAAAAAAAGGCTCAAGGTCAGCCTGTTTCCCACAGTAGGAAATTAAGAATCCCCTTTAGTTTACCATACCAGACAACAAACTGACTACGGCTGTTCACTTAGCTACCTGAATATTTACTAAGCATCTTCCCTGAGGCTAGGACCCCAAATATGAGTAAGACTTACTACAATAAACACATGAAACATTCTTATTTGAAACCACTGCCTATTATCATCCTCTCCTTGACCAAGGCACAAATGTTAGTAATATCTAAGAAAATTTAGGAACCTACTCCTTTTCTAAGACAACTGAGGGATCAGCGAACTTTTCATACAAAACCTTAATAATGAGTGTATTATTTTAGGTTTTGCATGGTCACAATGGTCTCTTTAATATAAAATGTCTGTCTTTTCTTTTAAACATAAAAAATTTTCAGTTTACAGAAGGCAACAAACCCTTGTTTGTCAACCTCTGGGAGAGAGCATTTACTAACCCAGAAAGACAACTTACAATTGAATATCGGAAATTAGCCATATGAATAAATGCACAGATTCTGTACACCTGGGGAGATATGTTCTTAAAGGCAAAGTTTAGGGGCGCCTGGGTGGCTCAGTGGTTAAAGCCTGACTTCAGCTCACGTCATGATCCCAGGGTCCTGGAATCAAGCTCCACATCAGGCTCTCTGCTCAGCAGGGAGCCTGCTTCCCCTCCTCTCTGCCTACTTGTGATGGCTGTCAAATAAATAAATAAATAAAATCTTAAAAAAAAAAAAGACAAAGTTTACTTCCCTTCAAAAGCTTAGGTTTCAAGGCTCACACTAACCTTAAAACACGTTCCATTACACACAAGCAAATACACATTAATAACAAAAGCTATGACTTTGACAGCAACACTTTACAAAGGTGCTCAAATTCTTCTCCACCATCTCCAGATAACTGATACAACTGCTGAAAAATCACTTACCTCTGCAACAGACTGAAGGCTTCGTGCAAACTTTAGCTGATTAACACCATGATGGACAGGCTTGCCGTAGGTAGCACCCTTAGGAACTGGGCGTTTGCGGCCACCACGACGCACACGAATCCGATATATGACATAACCTATACAGACACATTTACAGTGGTCTTATAAAAGCCAGACGGATGAAGACTCAGTAACTTGCTACTAAATGCTGCAATGTCGAATGTATTTTGGACTGTAAGCCAACTACCATATACCTTAAGATAAAATAAATTACCACTTAAGACTTACTCTAAATAAACACACACATTCCAGTGTTTTTCCAAGTACTTTGTGACACAAGAATAACTTCTCATTCCCATTCTACACGGAGATATTGGGGCCATAGTATCTCTAAATACCAGTCTTCTAGCATTTCCCCAGGAACACGATTTTATCCAAGGATCCAGAGAGACCACTCACCTTGCTTGGCCTTGTACCCCAGCCTGCGCGCTTTATCGGGCCGGGTTGGGCGGGGGGCCCTGTGGAGCGCAGAGAGCTGGCGGTACTGCCAGCAGCGCACCCTGAGAAGAAAGCGCATTACATCGGACTGCTTCTTCCTCCATAGCTCCTGGATGTACTTGTAAGCGCCCATCTTGGCCTACCTTTGAGCTAAAAAAAAAATCATGCATTTAAAATATGAGCGATCGCGTCCGTCCATCTTAGTTCCCCACCAGCCACAAGAAAACCACTGAAGCTGAAAACGGCTCTCCGTGAGCTGCAGGGAATAGATGCGCCCTAGAAAAACAGCTCTGTCACCTCTGCGACCCTAGCGCGGAGCAGCGCAAGAAGGGTCTCAGTACATTTTTGTTTGATGAATGAATAGCACCAGACCGGAGAACTGAGGAGGGCCGCTGAATGCGGCAGTCGGCGTCCCCTAGGGCCTGGCCTGCAAAGAAACCTCGCCGATACCATAGGGAAAGGTGCTGCGGCCGTTATCCCCGAAGGCTAAGTCTCGAGAAAAACCCATTACTGCACACAATCCACAGGCCTCGCTTTAGAACCCTCTAGGCCCGGCCTTCCTTTCCTCAGCCGCATGCTTCCTTTTCATTCACGTTACAGGGCCCGCTCGAATTCGCGCCGCCATCACATCACCACCCCAGCCCGCCCCGGGAGCCGCCTCTTCAAGCCCGCGCAGCCCCGCATCCTGATCGAACTCGCGCCGCACAGGAGACAGAAGGAACTCCAAGGACGCAGGGTCCCCGAGTCTGGATGGCTGAAGCGAACGGAGATGAGCGGCGGATGCAGCAGCGAATACCACCAACACAGCCTACCTGATGGCTGCCGCCCGACGGAAAGGAAAGAGCCTTTCTCCCACAATCCTTTTTGGGCTCCTCCCCCTCAGCGGCGAGCCTCTTTCCGGTGGAAAGCTTCGGGTCTCACGGCCTCTTGGAACATGTAGTTCCGGCGGCGAGCCTTGTGGGCGGAGTTCGGCTCGGATTGGACGCAGCCTCCCTTATTATTCCGCCCCTCTGGTCCTCAGGATTTGAGTTTAAGACGCAGGGGCGGCTCAAAGAGCGAGAGTCCTTGGTGAGGCCTCGGCTGGCCGGCGTCCGCAACGGTCTTGTATCCGGGAGGAGGCAAGTTGGGGGCGGGGCTCACGTGGACGAAACCGGTCGTGGAGCCACTCTGCCAGAGCACCACGTCTTTGGAGCCTGTGGAGGTGTTAAGGTTTGTGTCTTGAGGTACAGAGAACAGCTTAACGCGCCGCAGGCTCCTCACCTGGGGAGTCGCGGCGGGTACCCCAGTGCGGCGCTATCTATCCCCCTTATCCCACTAGCTGCACCCCAGCAAGCCAAATAACACGCTCGTGCTGTCAGGGCTTCACGGGTGGGGGCGCGTGCCCCGCCTTCGGGCTTCAGCCTCTGCAGGCCTGGGCTCCGAGGGATTTTACCCTAAAGTAGGGTCGGAGGGTGGGGAACTGGGGGGCTAGGGAGGGGTGCGCGGGTGGCTCGGCGCGTTTCCATTTTCGTGCCTTTCCTGCCGACTTGGTCCCAGATTTGCTACGTCAGAACCAGTTTTTTTGTTTTGTTTTGTTTTAAGAAAGGCAAAATATTTTTATGTCAAGACCTGGTTTGCAGGTGCGAGTGTTTGGGGAAGAAATAACGAGAAAATGCTGGCCTTTTGGGTTGAGTTCTTTTATTGAGAAACAGTTAACCAGTTTTTTTGCGTCTCCAGAATATTTTCATTTTTGATGCAGTCATGTAGTTTACCTTCTAACTTATTAGCGGGGTTTTCCCCTATTTTCCTTTTTTTTTTTTTTATCGTAGCTTTACCATTGCAGGAATCCTCACATGGTTCATTGATTTATTCAGCAAATATTTATGAAATGCCTAATACGTGCCAGGTAGTGTCCCAACTGCTGGGGATGCAGCAATAGTGAACGCAGAAATTCTAGCTTTCTTGGAAATGGGCAACAAACATAAATAAGATATATATTATATATATATATGTTCTATACTATCATATATATATATATATGTTCGGTAAAAAGTACTAAAGACAAACGTTAAGGGGAGAGAAAGTGTTGGCGTGGGGGTGGGGTCAGAATTTTGGATGAAATATTCAGGATTAGTCTTCTTGAGAAATAACATTTGAGGAAAAAAACCCGGAAGGATGTGAACCTTGGAGATTTGGGCTGATTTCAGTCAAAAGGAAAATTAGCAAGGCTAGAGTATGCCTTGATTCATACAGAAACAGCAAGGAGGCAGTGTGGCAGGAATGAACCGTAAGGGAAACTAGCAGATGACAGGAGAGCGATGGAGGTTCTTAAGTTTCACACTGCCTGAGATCAGAAACTATTGGAAGATTTTAAGCAGAAGGGTGACTTCTTGTGACTTACATTTTTAAAGGATTATTGGGATTGCAGTTTTGAGCCCAAAAGCAGGGAAAAAGTTGAAGCAGAGAGACTAGGAAGTTTTATTAGTTTCTTTTTGCTAATTACAGCAAACTTACTGGCTTAAAATATCACAAATATGTTGTCTTACACAGGTCAGAAATCTCTGTAGGCTAAAATCAGATTGCTGTGTTCCTTTTAGAGAAGCTAGGGGAGAATCCATTTGCTTGCTTTTTCCACTTTTTTTTTTTTTTTTAAGATTTTACTTATTTATATGAGAGGAGGGGGTAGGGACCAGTGCAGGGAGAGGAGCAGAAGGAGAGAGACAAGCCGATTCCACATTGGAGGGCATAGCGGGTTGAGGGGCCAGTCCAACGATCCTGAGACCATGACCCTAGCCAAAACCAAGAGGGAGATGCTCAACCAACCGAACCACTCAGGTGCCCCTGCTGTTCCCAGCTTTTAGAGGCCACCAGCATTCTTTGGCTCCTGACCCCTTCGTTCATTTTCAAAGCAAGCAGTATAGCATCTTTGTATTCTGTTTCTCTTTCTGACACACTTCTCTCCTTATAAAGATACATGTGATTACACTGGGTCTACCCGGATAGTCCAGTATAGTCTCCCCATCTCAAGGGTCTTAATTTAATCACAGCTGCAAAGCTCCTGGTACTTTGTAAAATAAAATACTCACAGGTTTTGGGGATTATCACATAGACATCCTTGAGAGACCAGGTAAGAGAAGTTGGTGCCTCTGATCACTTCATTAGTGGACCTGGTAAGTAAGTGGTCCAGTCCTGGATGTGTTCCAAAGGTGGTGGCTTTACTGGTGGATCAGATGTGGGGTACCAAAAAAAAAAAAAAAAAAGAGTCAATGATTGGCTATAAAATAATTAATTAATTAAAAAAATAAAGGGATGCCTGGCTGGCTCAGTTGGTAGAGCATATGACTTTTTCTTTTTTACGGTTTTATTTATTTATTTGACAGTGAGATCACAAGTAGGCAGAGAGGCATGCAGAGAGAGAGGGGAAAGCAGGCTCCCTGCTGAACAGAGAGCCCAATTTGGGGCTCGATCCCAGGACCCTGGGATCATGACCTGAGCCGAAGGCAGAGGCTTAACCCACTGAGCCACCCAGGTGCCCCTAGAGCATGTGACTTGATCTCAGGGTTGAGTTTGAACCACATTTTGGGCATAGAGATTACTTTAAAAAAAATGACTACAAAGTTGGATGAATCATTTGGAAAGGAGTTCTGGCAATGCAAATAATTGCTGCTAATTCCTTAATTAATTTTTGCCGTTTTGTTTCTTCATTTGCAATTTGCAGTTTCTTAGTAGTTTTGCAAGATTTGGATTGGTATTTTCAATTGACTCTGAGATTGCTGAGGACCGGTATCATTTCTGGTTTTGCCCCCCTACTTTGTCCCTCATGAGTGGCATTATGGTAAGACCTCAGTAAATATTTAATGAATAAAAGAATGGTAAGGTAGAATCTGCTCATTATATTTTATTATGTGCAGTATTGTTTACAAAACCTTTTAAATGTATGTTTATGTAAAATTTCATATATGGATAAGTGTTGCACACAGTACCTGATGTTTGCATAAATAAATACAGTGTAAAAATTTTCTCCATGCGAGGCTTCATAATATGATTATAACATCTCTTTGTGATGTTGTTTCAGTATTAATATTGTTTTAGTAGCATAAAAAAAAAGTTGTGTTTAACTTCTAAAAGTAGAGTGATTTCCTTAGAAAAACAGAAGTACTGGCAGTTTCGAGCAGCTGTTTCTGATAGCTCTTTAAAGGGGTTATTGACCAAGCTCAGTGTTTTCCACAGGAATGGATCAAGTCATGTTTTTATTCTCTAGAAACATCATTGATTAGCCTGGAAAGCAAAGCAATATGCAGTTAAGACTGCATTGGATTTTGCCTGTTAAGCCTGTTCTCTCAAGTCATTTATATCAGATGAGGATTAATAGGTCACAGATTGAATTTTATTGTTCAGCAGTTACTTAGGGTAGGGACTGTACTAAGTAGTTCTTACTAGTGCTTTACAGTAAACACTAACTGGGGTGCCTGGCTGGCTCAGTTATTTAAGTATCTAACTCTTCAGCCCAGGTCTTGATCTCAGGGTTATGAGTTCAAGCCCTGCATTGGGCTCAATGCTGAGTGTGGAGGCTACTAAAAAACATTAGATACTATTCAAAAAAATTAATACTTTCATTAGCAGGTTGTTAACCTTCAGCTTTAGTAATATTGTTTCCCACTTGACAACGACTTAGAACCTAGAATGTTTCAGCTGTGCTTTGATTAATCATATTTATCCTTTCATCTTTGTTTTGTTTTTAATGGTATAAAATATTTAACATGGATTATTCTGTTTTATCTTGCTTCTTTCCTTATGAAATACCATAAAATCCTTACCAAGTGTTTGAGTACCCTCTGTTCAATTATTTTTACTGTTTGCCTTTGATGGAGATTCTATGATAGACTAAAACAACTCCCCCAGTTTATTTATACACACACATACACTAAAAGTAGTGTGTACCTTTAACACACTTCATCTGCTAATCCTATTATCAGTGAGTGATCAAAGTATAATTGTATGCCACTTTTAGTTATTTATATAGTTTTTAAAGATCTTATTTATTTATTTGACAGAGAAAGACACAGCAAGAGAGGGAACATAAGCAGTGGGAGTGGGAGATGGAGAAGCAAGCTTCCCGAGGACCAGGGAGCCCAATGCGGGCTCAATCCCAGGACCCTGGGACCATGACCCAAGTTGAAGGCAAACGCTTAACGACTGAGCCACCTCGGTGCTGCAGTAGTATGCCACTTTTAAAGCAAGTATATTAAGACCACTTCCTAAGAGTGGAGTATTCGATTGGGGTTTCTCAGGATTCTGTTGGTTTCAGCATTTTCCCAGTTTGCTGGAGTCCCCAGAACTCATATTTGCCTCTCTTTTATGGGGAGTCTATTGCTGTTAATAATTGGGGTGTTTTTTTCTTTTAACTATCTGGTTCACTTAACTGCAACATGTACCTGCCCTTTGTGTTTATTTGAAGATTGATAGGATATGTGGTAAAGGGGCATTTTCTTATTGAACAGGAAAAGAAGAGAAGGTAAGGTATTTAGAAATTCTGCAGGGGCTAAGACATTTTCAGAGGATGGGAAATAACAATAGAAAAATTAGAATTTAGATTCCAGTAGCAACCTTTTCTGACAACGGAATTGCTCTATGCTGCCATCATTTTTCTTATCTGACAGATTTCTTTTTCATCCTTTTGGTTGGTGGCATGTGGTTAAGTGGCAACTTCCTTTAAATTTTAACTATTATCATTAAAAATGCTTTGAAAGAAAGATTCAATGATATCATAAACTTATAGGAGATCACAAAATGCAAAAAGGGTAGACTCCTACAATCAATGAGATGACATTAGATTAATCATAAATTCAGGTGTAGAAAACCTTTTAAAATAGTCCATAGCTGCTGACCTAGGAGATGTCATACCATAGATGATCAGTGTGTCACAGAGCTCTCCTCTTAAAAATAAAGGCTGAGAATTTTTCTATTGCAGTTATGTTGAAAATATATTTTTAAAAATGGTGCCTGGCTGGATCAGTTGGTAGAGCATGCGACTCTTAATCTCGGGGTCATGATTTTGAGTCCCACATTGGGCATAGAGATTACTTTAAAAATTTAAAAAATAAGTATAATATATATGTATTTGTGTGTGTGTGTGTGTGTGTGTGTCCCTTAAGAGAAGTAGTTCTCATAGAAATAAGTGATAAATATTCTTGGGAAGATTTGGAAGGATCCCAAGCATGCCACCAGGAAATAATGGCTACATTGCATTAAGTGATGATTATTTCTCTACTGGTAAAATGTACTGTACTGCTCTGGAAATGAGTGCTGTGTTATTACTGTGCTGCAATAATGGTAGCAATAAAATTTTTCCTGTCAGTAGATTGGTGTTGTGGCTAATTTGGGTTATAAAAATTACAGACTTTTGGGGGCACCTGGGTGGTTCAGTCAGTTAAGCATCTGCCTTTAGCTCAGGTCATGATCATAAGGTCCAGGGATTCAGCCCCCCATTGGGCTTCCTGCTCAGAGGAGAATCTGCTTCTGCCTTTCCCTCTGCCTGCTGCTCCCCCTGCTTGTTCTCTCTCTCTTTCCGTCTGTCAAATAAGTAAATAAAATCTTTTTTTTTTAAGATTTTATTTATTTATTTGACAGAGAGATAACAAGTAGGCAGAGAGGCAGGCAGAGAGAGAGGGGGAAGAAGGCCCCCCACTGAGCAGAGAGCCTGCCGAGGGGCTCTGAGATCATGACCTGATCTGAAGGCAGAGGCTTAATCCACTGAGACACTCAGGCACCCAATAAATAAAATCTTAAAAAAAAAAAAAAAAGCATGACTCAAAAAGAAGCATGAAAAAGAGAGCCCAGTTTTTCACTCTCCTGAGAAAAGACGGGTGGCATTAATAGCATTAATGTTTCTCTAAAAAATCATGTCCATTCTCTACAAATTTTTGTCTTCATGCCTCCTTAAATTTTTGTTTGAATGTTGGGTTTTTTCCAGGTAAATATTGATGAGCAGGTAGTGTCTTTCAAGGATTGGTTTCATCTAGGATTTGATTTAGATTCCTGTAGACTTAGTGTTGAAATATTCTTTGAATAAAATTTTTTTTTAAATAAACATGTATTTGTATCTACATGTATTCTTGTGCTTATCTAGATTACCTCTGCAAAAACGTGTAAGAAACTGGTAACACTGATTGCTCTAAGGGAGCAAATGGGAGACTAGGAATGGGGTTTGGAAGGCTATGCCTTATTGTATATATCCTTTTTTATTTTTGGCATTTCCCCCTGCATATGTGTGACTTATTTAAACATAGAAAAAAGGAAAAATGGTTGATTCACACAGTATACAGTTTCACAGATCTTTTATTCTTTTCACAGTGGCATATCCTGAGAGAAGATGGGAAAGGGCTGCAAGGTTGTGGTCTGTGGCTTGTTATCTGTGGGGAAAACGGCAATTTTGGAGCAGCTTCTTTATGGGAATCATACTATTGGTAAGATTACTTTTCTCTAGTTTCTCTGTAGGTTCTGGGAACTGTTCAGGGTCTTTTGTTGCCATGCTAACCTAAAGATGGGTAATGGTACCAAAAGTGAAGTATGATGCATGAGGACTGAAGGTTTGAAGTCAACAGAAACTGAAAGGCAGGGGAAGTAGGGGAGAGAAAAAAATAATATTTGTTATGGAAATCCAAGAGTATTTGCTGTAAGTTACAATAGGTAAGAAAACAAATGTGTGTGTGCATATGTGGTTTCCCGTGTATTTGCATAATAGATAGTGGTCTCGGAGTCCTAGAATCACTGACCTAAGAATACGCTGAACAATGATCTGTCATTCAAGTTTCAAACAGGACTTTCCAATTCTGCTATAAAAGTTTTAAAAATGGAAGAAACTCTTATTTGCTCTAATATGACCTAATTTTGTGAATTGGATTATCACATTCATTTTTCCATTCATTAAGTTAAATAATTAGTAAATACTTGCTGTATGATACAGGCTGTAATGAGACCTTTTGAAAGTGCAGAATTGAAGAAGACCACATCTCTCTTTTTAAGATCATCATTTAGTAAGGAATATAGACACTACAAGTTAGAATGAAATGAGGTTTGTTAGATAAGTGGAACCATGGATCTTCAAAGTATTTATCTCTAGCAAGTAGCTCAGAGCACATTTCTTTTATTGACCCATCTTGATTAGCTCTGCTTCTCTTTCAGCTTCCCAAAATAATAGTTAACAATTTTGGTTAAATCTGTATTTGGTTTTTATTATGATGCCAGTGCCTACAGTTCTCAAACTTTTTGAGAACTTTTGGTTTCAGAATCCCCCTGTCACAAATGCTGCACTATGGTTCCCCCCCCCCCCCCGCTTTTTTTTTTCTCTTTAGAGATGGGGGAAGGGGCAAAGGGAGAGGGAGAGACAAAATCTTAAGCAGGTTCCAGGTGGTGCTCCATCTCACAACTCTAGGATCATGACCTGAGCCAAAATCAAGAGTCAGATGCTTAACTGAGCCACCCAGGGCCTCCGCACTATTGATTCTTAATTTTTTTTACCTCCCAATTCTAATTTATGCCTGTGCAAAAATAAATTATGTCCAGGGGATAAAATCTCTTTATCCTCTTAAAACCCCAAACAGGTTTTATTTATGTAGGCTTTATCATTCAATATTTTTACTATGTTAGAAATTAAAACTGAGGAATTTTTAAAAATACTCATTTATTGCTTAAAATAATAAACATGTTATATGCTAAGATAACTTTTTTATGAAAAGTAATTATATTTTCAAAAAAGTGAGAGAATGAGCATTGATTTACATTTTTTGAAAATCTAATGTTCAGCTTACTATAAGGCAGCTGGATTATCATATCTACTTGCTTTTGTATTTAATCAATTGTGGTATATTTTTTTTTGTTGAAATATATGAATAAAACCTTCCTCACACAGATAAATCTTTGGAAGAAGTAGAAGTATGTTATAGCCTTTCCAGATAATTGTGGGTATTCTTTGCTATTTCACTAAAACTCATTAAGTGATGTTTACTTAAAGCTTGTTGGAAACCACATTAGTAAACTTTTCTTACTCTATTAAAGTAAAACCTCATTGATCCATCTTGAACTATAAATGGGATTTTTACCCAGTACTGGTTTTTAAACATCATAAATTGTGCATTTGAAAAATACTGGCTCACTGAGATAAGCAGATCTTCCAAATAACATTTATTAATATCATCACCAGTCTTATCAGTATTAAGAAGCTATCAAGTTCGTGGTGATGGGTACAATTCTCATTTTCACTCAAAAGCTCAAATTTTATCATTGACAACAAATATTGCCAGTTATATTTCTCAAAAACGATAAGCTCCCCTTATTCATTTTTAGAAAACATCTATCAAATACCCCAAATAACATAGTTTTCCTGTCCTTCCTTCTTTAAAAAAAAAAAAAATTGGCTAGTTCAATCTGCAGCTTAAACACAAGAGCTTTTCCTCCAATTACCACAATTCATCATGCAGAATACTTTATGCATTAATGACACAGAATATTTAAAAATGTAAATGTGTATACTCAAGATTTGAGATTTAATAAAATAAGTAGATTTTTACTGATTTGTCAAGGACATTCTTTTTTTTTTTTTTTTTTAAAGATTTTATTTATTTATTTGACAGAGAGAGAGATCACAAATAGGCAGATAGGCATGCAGAGAGAGAGGGGGAAGCAGACAACCTCCTGAGCATAGAGCCTGATTCAGGACTCGATCTCAAGACCCTGAGATCATGACCTGAGCCAAAGACAGAGGCTTAACCCACTGAGCCACCCAGGTGCCCCTGTCAAGGACATTCTTAATGTTGGCTTTTTTCCTTCTCCAAATGGCAAGCATGAGGTGGTGAAGAATGCTACTACTAATAAATACAGTTGGTGCTCTGCCTTGATTTGCCCTAATGCACCAGCAGATTTACCCACCATTGTTTTCACACCATCAGTGCAAATGTCAACACAGTGGAAAAGACAAATGTCTTTGATCATTATGAAAATAGTTTGGTGCACGTGGATTCCTGAAAGGAGTCACTGAGGGATCTTTAGACCACACTTTAAGAACTGCTGGTGCATGTAAATATTCTCAGCTGAGCAATAGTCTGTACTATGACTGTTTCTTTTCTTTTCTTTTTATTTTTCTGGAGGCTGATAATTGCTTTGTCATTTCTTTAGTTTTATTCTTTTGCTAATTTTTCCACATGTACACATGGTTCTCAGTTTTTACAAAGTCAGCTACATCAAATACCCCCACCTTTGGAGATTATCCTTCCAGGAGTTAGTGATTCTCTTATGTTGGCTTATTACACAGGTATCACTGTGGAACTTTTCTTTACCTTTCTTCCTGGGTTCCTGTTTGTTTTGTTTTATTTTGTTTTAATTTTTTAAAAATTTATTTATTTAGGGATGCCTGGGTAGCTCATTTGGTTAAATATCTGCCTTCGGCTCATGTCATGATCCCAGGATCCTGGGATGAGTCCTGCATTGGGCTCCTTGCTCAGCAGGGAGCCTGCTTCTCCCTCTGCCTGCTGCTCCCCCAGCCTGGCATTCCCCTCTGTTTGTATTCTTGTTCTCTCTCTCTCTCTCTCTTTCTCTCTCTTTCTTTTTCTCTGGCAAATAAATAAAATCCTTAAAAATATATATTTATTTATTTTTAAAAAAGATTTATTTATTTGAGGGGAAGGGGCAGAAGGAGAGGGAGAGAGAGAATCCCAAGCAGACTCCGCCCTGAGCATGGAGCCTGCCATGGGGCTGGATCCTGCAACCCTGAGATCATGAACCGAGCCCAAACCAAGAGTCAGCTGCTTAACCAGCTAAGCCATCCAGGAACCCCTGAGTCCTGTGTCTTAGATCTCTTATCTTCTTCGGGTTTATGCCCTCTTGGTGGAACATATCTTCCAGGACTTTTTGTCAGTTGAAGAGGTTGTACAGGAGTGGAGCATCAAGGTGAGGACATTTGTTAAAGTGGCCTCTATGCCTGGTACTACTTTGGTACTATTTTGGTACTACTATGCCAGTAGTAATCCTGGAACTTCTTAATAGTGGTATTTTCCATTTTGCCTGTGATTTCCTGTACCTCTGTGTTAGGGTGTATTTTCTGGATCTGAGGTCTTCATCTCTCTATGAGTATGTGATAATTTTGATGGAGGGCTTATTCAAATAGTTACCTGAAGAAATGTACGTGACACATTTTTTTGAGCCTTCATATGTTTGAAAATGTCTCTTACTCTCAAAATTAGAATTTTGAAGGGTATAGAATTCTAGATTGAGAATAATTTCCTTTCAGAATTTTGCAAGCATTGCTCCATTTTCATCTTTTCTTTTTTTTATTATAAAATTCATCATACACATAGAAAAGTGCATAAAGCATATTAATGGCTTAATGAATAATTATAAAACAATCCTTTGTGTAATCTCCATGTAGGTCAAAAAGTAGAATAGAGAGCGCTCCAGTAGCTGCCATATTTCTCTCTCCAATCACAACTCAGCCTTTCCCTTAACTTTTAGTTAATCATTTCCTTTTCTTTGTAGTTTTCCCATTTATATATGTATCACTAAATGATATATTTACCTTTGCCTGTTACTGATTTTATGTCAGTGGAATCATTCTGTATAAATTCTTCAGTTTCTGGCTTCTTTTGCTTAACATTGTATTTGTAAGATATTGTATTGTTAGTATTGATCTGTATTGTTGAAGGTAGCTATGGTTTAATTTTCATAAGGGTTTGGGTCATCTGGTGGCTCAGATGGTTGGGCGTCTACCTTTGGCTTGGGTCATGATCTCCACGTTTTGGGATTGAGCCCCACATCAGGCTTCCAGTTCAGTGGGGAGTCTGGTTCTTCTTCTCCCCCTGTTCCTGCTCTCTCTATTTCACTGTCTCTCTCTCAAATGAATAAATAAAATAATTTAAAATTTTTCTTTCATAAAAGCTTATGGTATTCTATTATATGAATATACCTCAATTTATCACTTCTCTTTTTTTAATGTATTATTTTTATTAAATTTTTTAATTTTTTTATAAACATACAATGTATTTTTATCCTCAGGGGTACAGGTCTGTGAATCGCCAGGTTTACACACTTCACAGCACTCAACCATAGCACATACCCTCCCCAATGTCCATAACCCCACCCCCCCCTCCTGAGCCCCCACCCCCCAGCAACCCTCAGTTTGTTTTGTGAGATTAAGAGTCACTTATGGTTTGTCTCCCTCCCGATCCCATCTTGTTTCATTTATTCTTTTCCTACCCCCTCCAAACCCCCCACATTGCATCTCCACTTCCTCATATTAGGGAGATCATATGATAGTTGTCTTTCTCCGATTGACTTATTTCGCTAAGCATAATACCCTCTAGTTCCATCCACGTCTTCTCAAATGGCAAGATTTAATTTCTTTTGATGGCTGCATATTATTCCATTGTATATATATACCAATCTTCTTTATCCATTCATCTGTTGATGGACATCT